AAAAAAAAAAAAAAAAAAAAAAAAAAAAAAAAAAAAAAAAAAAAAAAAAAAAAAAAAAAAAAAAGAAAATAAATATACTAATGCATTTGAAAAATTCTGGAGAATATACTAACAATATTTGACTCTTCCATACAATTATGGTGACTTAAAATTTCTTCATTTTACTTGTTTTGTAATTTCTAAAGAATAAGAATTTCATGTTTGTATAATTTTTTGAGGGTTATAACATATTCCATCCAGGATTAAATTTCAGCCTCATTTATCTAGAATGTTAATCTCTGCAGTATCTGGTAGGTAAGTTTAGCACCTGGTCCACAGGACTGTGAGCAGCCCATGATGGGACCCTCACTGATCATTTTCAGGAGTGGGCTAATAGTCTTTGCCATGGCAAGCTATGCCAACTCACAGGACAAGGAAGGTGATTCAAGGGCCTTGCAAACTTCTTTTATAAGCTTCTCAGAGAATGCTGAGGTAGGAAGCACAAAGAAAACACTTAGAAAGTTCTGTGGCCGGGCGCGGTGGCTCAAGGCTGTAATCCCAGCACTTTGGGAGGCCGAGGTGGGTGGATCACAAGGTCAAGAGATCGAGACGATCCTGGTCAACATGGTGAAAGCCCATCTCTACTAAAAATACAAAACATTAGCTGGGCATGGTGGCGCATGCCTGTAACCAAAGGAAAACAACATCAGAAATGAAGAAAAAGGAACAGAGAGGTAAAATACATTCTTCTGAGTTTTAAAAATTATATTTGCTGGTTAGAAGCAACAGTTACAATTTTTACTTGATATGGTTCTCAGTGGATGTAGAGATGCTGAATGTTATTTTCTGTTAGGGATGTGTAAATTGAGGCCATGATCCCATACTACCACGTACCTAATAGGAAAGCTGGCACATTGGCAGTGCCAAGAGCTAGAAAGGGCATGGAACAAATGGAATGCTCACACATTGGTGGTGGGAATGTAAATTAGTACAGCCACTCTGGCAAAGAGTTTGGCCGTTTCTTTCAAAGTATAACACAAACTTACATATTCATCAGCAGTCATGCCCCAGGTGTGTATCCCAAATATATAAAAAACTTATGTTCACACAGTATCAGGTACACAAATAGTCACAGCATCTTTATTTATAACAGCAAAACACTGGAAACAACCCAAATGTCCATCAACACTGAATGGATACACAAATCCCAGTGCATCCATTTAAAAGAATAGTAACTCAGTAACAAAAATTAAAACTAGACACCCAGTAACTTGGATGGATCTTAAGGGTAATTTGCCGAGTGAACAAAGCCCTATCTCAAAGGTTGCATACCTTACAATTCCATTTTAATAGCATTCTTGAAATGACAAAATTAAGAGTGATGGGATCAGTGGTTACTGTGGGTTATGCTGGGAGGACAGTGTGAGTATAAAGAGGTAGCAAGAGGAGGCAGGGCACAGTGGCTCACACCTGTAATCCCAGCACTTTGGGGGGCAGAGGTGGGTGGTTCTCCCAAGGTTAGTTCAACCAGCCTGAACAACATGGTGAAATCTCATCTCTACTATAAAAATACAAAAATTAGTTGGGCGTGGCGGCAGGTACCTATAATCCCAAGTGCTTGGGAGGCCAAGGAAGGAGAATCACTTGAACCTGAGAGGTGAAGGTTGCCATTAGCCAAGATTGCACTCTTCCACTCCAGCCTGGGTAACAACACCAAAACTCCATCTCAAAAAAAAAAAAAAGGAGGTAGCAAGAGGATGTTTCTTTCTGTTGGCACAACAGTTCCACATCCTGATTGTGGTAGGATTTACATAAATCTATACATCTTATAGAATTTCTTAGACCTCTGCACGAAGATAAATAAAACCACAATTACTGCATGCATAAAGTAGTAAAGTCCAAATAAAGGCTGTACTTTGACAGCATTGTACTAATGTCATTTTATTGGTTTTGATTATTATGGTTATGTAAGGTAACATTGATGATGGTAAGCAAAGGATACTCAGGAAACTTGTATATTTTGTAATCTCTTGTGAATCTAAAATTACTTCAAAACGAATTTTAGGAAAATAATATTTAAGACATTTTTGCAAACTACATAACGGTACCTACTAACTTGGATAAACACATCCAAATATACTGAATTACATTTATGAATAGACTGAAAAAATAAATTTAGGGCCTATAATATGTAAGAAAAATCATACTAGGTTGACACAGAAAACAGCCTGTGTTGTATGAAGCATTAAAATTTAATCGATAGGAACAGCCCACTTTACAATTATGGAATTATTGATAATTATGATGCAAGGTATGCTGTCCCAGAAAAGACATCAAGTGTATCACGAGTTTAGGTTTGTGACAGAAAGCCCTCAAATATGTATCATTTTCATGAGGCTTTTTTACTTCATAAATTTCCTGATCCTTTCTATTCTTCACCTAAGTTTTATTTCTGCATGAAGTGATGATGATGAGGCAGAATGTATCACGGAAATCCTACTGTATTCATTGCCACCTGAATTTTTTCCTCCAGTATGAAATATATCTGCCAACTGTTAAGGTTTTATTTCTGGGCAAAGGCTTTTCCATGATAATGCTGCTAATATGTGTGAATTCACTGATGATCTATTATGATCACTGGTGACATAGGGTCTTTCTTCCCATAGAAGGCTTTGCTAGCTTCCCCCTTTGTAAGATTTATCACAGTAAATACTTTTCAAGACATAGTTACTTAGAAAATTGTCAAGACTTTTCTGCATTGGATATGTCAAGTTTATTTCCTTCGTTATTGTGACAAACAATATGAGGTAATTAATCACTTAAGGCACTAGTGCATTCTCTGCATTCATTAAAATTCACTCCTGCAAATTGCATAATCTTCCAAGGGTGAAAATCTGGCAACAGGCTGCTCTACACTGCCTACATGTATGTATGCTAGGAACACACTGATGTTTAATATGTTCACATTACTAACATGGTTTTCCCTCTGCATGAGTTTACTTGTATGTAATCAGTTCAGATTCTCTGCAAAAGGACTATTTACCTTATACATTTCTCATGTGCACATTTTTATAATTGTAGTGAAGACTGACAAATGAAAGGTTACCCCCAATCCACAGAATCTCTCTCAGATGAGTTATTTTATATACACTGGTACATCAAAGAATTCAGAGCCTGAATTCATGATGAAGGCTTTCTGACATTGATAGCATTCATCTAGTAGATAACACTGGATTTTGAAATATGATTTTTCATACTCGGTACACATAAAGAAAATCTATACTGTGAAATCTCTGATGTTGTACAAGACATATTTGCTTCCCAAAGGCATAACCATGTCCATTGCATTGTTAGGGTTTGTTTCCATTATGAGTTCGCTGATGTACAATGAGATTTCTCTTTGAGGAGAAGGCTTTTTTACATTCACTGCATACAAAAGGTTTCTCTCCTGTATGAGTTCGTTGATGAACAATTAGACGGCTCTTCACAGTAAAGCCTTTACCACATTCATTGCATCCATAAGGTTTTTCTCCAGTATGAACTTGCTTATGTAAAGCAAGCTCAGTTTCCATGGCAAAGCCTTTTCCACATTCACTACATATACAAGACTTCTCTCCTGTATGAATTTGCTGATGTACAATGAGATAGCGTTTCATGGTGAAGCCTTTTCCACATTCACTGCACAAAAAGGGTTTCTCTCCAGTATGAGTTCGCTGGTGTACAACAAGATTGCTCTTAAAGGCAAAACCTTTTCCACATTCACTGCATATGTAGGGTTTCTCTCCAGTATGAGTTCGCTGATGTAACATCAGTCCACTATTCACAATGAAACCTTTCCCACATTCACTGCACCTGTAAGGTTTCTCTCCAGTATGAGTTCGCTGATGTACAATCAGCCGACTCTTCAAGGGGAAGCCTTTCCCACATTCACTGCATATGTAGGGCTTCTCTCCAGTATGAGTTCGCTGATGTATTATGAGCATGCTTTTCACAGTAAAACCTTTTCCACATTCACTACATAGATATGATTTCTCTACTGTATGATTTCTCTGATGTACAATGAGATTACTCTTCCTGGGAAAGGCTTTTCCACATTCATTGCATACATAGGGTTTCTCTCCTGTATGAGTTCGTTGATGTTCAATCATACGGCTCTTCATGGTGAAGCCTTTCCCACATTCATTGCATATATACGGTTTCTCTCCTGTATGATTTCGCTGATGTATGATGACATAGTGCTTTGTGGTAAAGCCTTTCCCACATTCACTACAAATGTAGGGTTTCTCTCCTGTATGAGTTCGTTGATGTATGATAAGCATGCTCTTCCCAGTGAAGCCTTTTCCACATTCACTACATACATAGGATTTCTCTCCAGTATGATTTCGCTGATGTACAATCAGATTACGTTTGCCTGGGAAGCCTTTTCCACATTCATTGCATACATAGGGCTTCTCTCCAGTATGAGTTCGCTGATGTTCAATCAGACGACTCTTCATAGTGAAGACTTTTCCACATTCACTGCATATAAAAGATTTCTCTCTTTTATGAATTCTTTGATGTTCATTTAGCCTGGACTTTCTGGAGAACACTTTTGCACACAAAGTACATCCGTAAGGTTTTTCTCCAGTATGAACTCTCTCATGATCAGTGAGCTGAGACTTCTTGACAAATGCTTTCCCACATTCACTGCATATGTGGTTTTTCTCTATTTCTTGAGTTCTTTGATGCTTACTGACTTGGGATTTGATGCTATTGGATTTTGTACTTACAGAGAATTTAGCTGCAGAATGAAGCTCTTCATACTTACCCTGAAGAAATGATTTCCCATCTCCATTAAATTTATTAGAGTTCTTAATTTCACAGCTTTTGTTCTGGTTGACTAAACTTAAATTTGATTTCAAAGTTTTTATATACAACTCAAATGTATCATGATTTTCCCTGAAAAGACAATGGCTTTTGGTTTGAGAGGCAGTATTTCCAAATGCATTATGTTTATGGTGGTGTTTCACACTCTTCAGCATCCTTTGATTTTCCAAGTGATCCTGAAGATGTTCATCAACTTTGTTATTTTCTGGGAAAGAAGAGAACAATGAATCCTTTCATATCTTGTTGGGGATAAAAGTGTTTTCTTTAAAAAAAAAAATCCTTGGTGCGTTTATTTTATTATTTATTTATTTTTATTTTTTTGAGACAGAGTCTTACTCTGTTACCCAGGCTAGAGTGCAGTGGCATGATCTCGGCTCACTGCAACCTCCGCCTCCTGGGTTCAAGCAATTCTCCTGCCTCAGCCTCCAGAGTAGCTGGGATTACAGGTGTATGCCATCATGCCCAGCTAATTTTTGTATATTTAGTAGAGGCAGGGTTTCACTATGTTAGCCAGGCTGGTCTCGAACTCCTAACCTTAGGTGATCCTCCCACCTTGGCCTCTCAAAGTGCTGGGATTACAGGCATGAGCCACTGCACCTGGCCAGGTGTTTTTAAATATAGCTCTCTAATGTCTCTTTAATGACAATACTATGATAACAGTAGAAAAGCAACTTCATGTATACACTTTGGTAAAGACATAATAAACAAACCAAAAGGTAAAAGCAGTCTGTGTGCAAATAAGGTTAGGCAGTTGATAATCTATATAGATTTGACAGCTTTCTAAATAGGAACTTGCAAAACATGCAGACATAGTAAAATACAAGCAAGTCATTATTATTATTATTTGAGACAAAATCTTGCTCTTGTCACCCAGGCTAGAGTGCAATGTAATCTCAGCTCACTGCAACCTCCACCTCCTGGGTTGAAGTGAGTATCCTGCCTCAACCTCCCAAGTAGCTGGAATTACAGGTGCCTATCACCACGCCTGGCTAATTTTTGTATTTTTAGTAGAGATGAGGTTTCCCCTTGTTGGCCAGGCTGGTCTCAAACTCCTGACCTCACGCATTCCACCTGCCTTGGCCTCCCAAAGTGCTGAGATTACTGGCGTGGGCCACCGTGCCCAGCCTCAAGCAAGTCATTATTACAAGCAAACAACAGGGCTTGGGGGAACACCATTCCATAAAATTTGGGGAGACATCAGACCACAAAGGTGGAAAAGGCAACTGATCCAAAATGCTGAGGGTTGTATTTATTCACTCCACTAGTATTTGTTGAATGACTCCTATAGACAAGGCACTCTGCTGGCATTTGAGATTTATAAAATAAAATATGCCTTATTCTCACTGATGTTGAATTCTAGTTAGGAAAAACTGAATAAACAAGAAGAAACAACAACAAAAAAAAGGAAGTTGGAGATATTAAGTGTGGTTTGAAGGAGCAGTGTAGATGGTGAGAGGTGGAGGAAAAGAAAAGAAGGTTAGGCCGGGCGCGGTGGCTCAAGCCTGTAATCCCAGCACTTTGGGAGGCCGAGGCGGGTGGATCACGAGGTCAAGAGATCGAGACCATCCTGGTCAACACAGTGAAACCCCGTCTCTACTAAAAATACAAAAAAAATTAGCTGGGCATGGTGGCGCGTGCCTATAATCCCAGCTACTCAGGAGGTTGAGGCAGGAGAATTGCCTGAACCCAGGAGGTGGTGGTTGCGGTGAGCCGAGATCGCACCATTGCACTCCAGCCTGGGTAGCAAGAGTGAAACTCCGTCTCAAACAAACAAACAAACAAAAACAAAAAAAAAAAAAGAAAAGAAGGTTAAACGATTAATTCAGTGGGGAGAGTGATTAAGGAAAGTGAGGACTCAGAGATTACTAACTATATGGCTTGAGCCACTTTGAAATGGTTATCAAATATTTAACACAGACATCAGCAATCTGGCTGGAGGTATAAATGAAGAAGGCAGTGTGGAAATAATCAGTACATACTGATTATTTTAGAAAAAATAATTAACTCAAAAAAAATAATTATTATTATTATTATTTGAGAAAAAAGGGCTGAATTACTTTTTTTTTTGAGACAAGTTCTCACTGTCACCCAGGCTGGCATGCAGTGGCACAATCTTGCCTCACTGCAACCTCCACCTCCCAGGCTCAAGCGATTCTCCCACCTCAGCCTCCTGAATAGCTGGGACTATAGGAGCATGCCACCATGCTCAACTGATTTTTTGTATTTTTTGTAGAGGTGGGGTCTTGCCATGTTGCCCAAGCTGGTCTTTAATTCTTGGGCTCAAGTGATCTGCCCACTTTGGCTTCCCAAAGCGCTGGAACTACAGGTGTGAACATTGGGCCAGGATACCATGCTGAGAAGACGTGTATAATAAAAGATTAAGGTACAGAACTAAGGTTTTAGACATTCCAACATGTAGTTTTGTATGGGTAACCTCCCATATGGGCACCGAGGAAGGAGAGCTGTGTAGATCCCAGGCACAATTAGTGCCTGAAGTATAACTTACTACTTACTTACATCTAGCTTATATATATAATCATACTTAGTTCCATATAATCTTATATCTAGCTTATATAATCATACTTCGTTCCATATTATCTTAGATCTAGCATATATATATATAAAATCATACTTAGGTCCATACAATCTTTGTATATAATCATAGAATGAGTTGTAGTAGAAACTGTACAGACACATTTAGTGCTGATTTATATAATCCTTCTATATAACCATATAGTAGTTTGTAGTAGGAGGAATGCCTAGAGCAGTCACAGAGCAGAAGCAAGTACATGGGAAAAACAGCCAGACCAGGACAAGAACCAATGACCCAGGCAGTAGCACCCCTGCCTGAAAGGGCATGTGCTGTATGGCAGGTCAGGGCCTAGACGGCAGCACTCGGCACCTGCTACATGGCTAGCTTGGAGCAAGAGTTATTCCTCCTGAAAAGGAGTTGCAGTACCTTGCATTTGGTTCTTGTGGAAAGCAGGCCTTCAGCCTGAGATCCCGTGAACAACTGAGGGAGAAAAACCCCTCTGGTGTAATTGCGCCATGGCAGCTGTACACCCTTGTCAGCTTTTTCTACTAGGCTGGCTCAAATCATCCCCCTATAAATTATCTTAGAGAAGAGCACACTCTGTCAGCTCCCACTGCACTGGTTTACAACATCCTTCTACAGGAATCCTTTGAAGTCTCCAGCCCCCAGATAAGAAGTGTTGCGCAAGGCACTTGTTGCAACACAGCTCACCTCCTTGCTTCAGTGACCTAATGTGGGTAGACCCCCTTTTTTATATACGACCCTCTACTACTGCACACAGCACAGCCCCCTACTATGTATGGCCCACCTCTCTGACTAGGTGACCTAATGGAGTGGCCCCCTTGCTTGCTACTCATGCAATTATATATGCCTTATCATTAAGCCTATAGATGACCTCACTCATAACCCTTCCCCCTGTCTTGTACCTCATAAATACAGACGCTTCTGGAAATTCGGGGCCTCACGTGTCTCTGCTCATAGGTGCTGTGGCCCCCCAAGCCCAGCTGCTCTTTTCTAGTCCTGTGAACTGTCTCTTTGTTTCTTGGATCCTACAACTCAACACAGCAATAGGGGACACCCCACAACCCTGGTAGGGCTGTGGCCCTACAGTTTTGGGATTATTTAAGCCCTCTTAGAGGAACCAAACTGTGACTACAAAGATCAGGGGAATATACTTACTGAGATATATAGAATAAATACATTTACATACTTGTTGCCTGGCAAGTAAGAATTGGAAATCCCCAACTGTTGAACTTAAGTGAACTGAGATAGACTCTTGTGTGGTAATGCTGTTACTAAATTTGCCCCTCTTCAATCTGTAGACTACTAACTTTCCAAAAACATCCATCACATTTAGCGAACAACACCTACAGTCAACCCTCCACCCTCTTCTTTAGCTGTGTCACGTTATCATATGTTCCATTAATTATGAAACAGGAAAACAATGATAGGAATTTTGCATGGTACACCAGCCAGTGTACCATGTAGTTGCCTTCAGAAGCAAATGTGCTGCTGCATAGGATATGAAAACTGTCATCTTCTTCAATCACATTCTGCATGCAGTAGAAAAGTCATATCAAGGCCAAGCACGTTGGCTCACAGCTGTAAACCCAGCACTTTAGGAAGCTGAGGTGGGCAGATCACTTGAGCTCTGGAGTTCCAGACCTGCCTGGGCCACATGGTGAAACACCATCCTTACAAAAAATACAAAAATTAGCCTGGCACGGTGACGTGCGCCTGTAGTCCCAGCTACTTGAGAGGCTGAGGTGGGAAGATTGCTTGATCCCAGGAGGTCGAGGCTGCAGTGAGCCAAAATTGTGCCACTGCACTGTAGCCTAAGCAACAAAGCGAGACCCTGTCTCAAAAAAAAAAGTTATATCCAATTTTTCCCATTTCAACATCCCTGATATACTGTTTCCTCATCTGCCACCAATAGCATCTACTTCAGTAATGCTACATTTATGTCTCAGCAACAGTTAAGTTGTACTAAATGATAAATTTATTCCTTCTAAAGGCTGTGCCAGCTTCACCTTCAGTTTTTCTTAAGACATTTAGCTGTTCCTTATTGTTGCTACACTGCTGTCATCCAGGTGAAAGGTCAGACTATCAAGTTATCTTGTGAAAAGAAAAAAACATAAAATTAACCAACCCTCAACCATGCTACCTCAATTACTCATATATAAAATCAAAAGTCAGCCAGGCATGGTAGCTCACACCTACAGTCCCAGCACTTTGGGAGGCCACGTTGGGTAGATCACAAAGTCAGGAGTTCAAGACCAGCCTGGCCAAGATGGTTAAACCCCTCTCTACTAAAAATGCAAAAATTAGCTGGGTGTAGTGGCAGGTGCCTGTTACCCCACTACTAGGGAGGCTGAGGCAGAGAATTACTTGAACCCAGGTGGTAGAGGTTGCAGTGACCTGAGATTGTGCAACTGCACTCCAGGCTGGTAACAGAGCGAGACTCCATCTCAAAAAATAAATAAATAAAAATAAAATCAAAAGTCATCTTGATTAAAGAAAGTTTACATTACCATGAATATTACCATGTTTCTGCTCCAAGATTTCTCCAACAAACAGCTTCTATCACTGACCTGTACTTGACCAACTTGAAGCCAATCTTTTGATACTCAAGCCCATGGCCTTGCACAATTCCTATTTTGTGCCTTCATTCTTAATTCATGTCACCATATTCCTAATTTAAAATCTAGATATGCCTTGTGCACATCATACTCTTGCTGCAATTCTGACTATCCTGCCATGTGGGAAGAGATGGCCAGGGCCCAACCTGTGTTACTTACAGTTAAATGATTACAAGCTTGCTTTTGTTTTTTTTTTTTTTTTTCTGAGACGGAGTTTCGCTCTTGTTACCCAGGCTGGAGTGCAATGGCGCGATCTCGGCTCACCGCAACCTCCGCCTCCTGGGTTCAGGCAGTTCTCCTGCCTCAGCCTCCTGAGTAGCTGGAATTACAGGCACACGCCACCATGCCCAGCTAATTTTTTGTAGTTTTAGTAGAGACGGGGTTTCACCATGTTGACCAGGATGGTCTCGATCTCTTGACCTCGTGATCCACCCGCCTCGGCCTCCCAAAGTGCTGGGATTACAGGCTTGAGCCACCGCGCCCGGCCCTGCTTGCTTTGCTTTTTATACACTGAGATTTGTGCCACAGATCACATCCAAACTATGGTACAGTAAAATAAAAGTAGAGATCAGGTGGTAACAGGAGGCCTATGGTAAAGACCATCTGAGAGTGCCCTACAGCTGTGGAACACTGCAGCGTGGTTGCAGAGCAGTGAAAAAACTGCTTTGGTCCCACAACTCTTCCTAACATAGAGTGTGTAACAATCTCGTAAAGGGAGATTTACTGGGAAGTAATGCAACCTCTGCTCATAAGATTTGGGAGGGTCTTCGCAGATGGGTGCTGGTAAGGCTAGAAAGCCTCGCAGGGCAGACACCAGAATGCCACAGGCTCTGCAATGTTCTCAGAATATGGAGCAATTCCAACTGCTCTGTGTCGACAATGCTCAGGAGATAAAAGCCCCTTAATGCACTGTGTGTGGTCAGACCTTAAGGGGCCTTATCCACTATACTTCTGTTGCCAAAACACCTGGTTAGACAATGGGTGGTAAAATATCAGTGTCCTTAGTTAGCATTTCTTAGGAGAACCATGTGTGCTATTGAATGCTACAGACACATGCACTTCCTCCAGCTATCTTCCTCCTCAACCCTTCTCCCCACAGCCTGCAATATTAACAAGATAATACAACTAATAAAGGTGCTTGCAGCCCAGAGCTCAGAGCCAACCTGCACCCGGGAGAGTGCGCTGGACCCCTGGGCCTATGCTGTAAACTTCTATTCTTGTGTCTTTCTTTCTTTTCTCACTCCCTCCTCACTGCTGAGACATGGGGCACCTACGCACAGGGTTGGGCTGGTTCCCAACACTGCTCTGTTTCCTCTGTATTCCTAAATTAACCACTTTATTGTTAATTTTTACAGTAATCTTCTGGGTAGTGAGGAACTAGATCTAATCTCAACCAAAGAGAGGTCTAGCATTTGTTCTTTGCTATTGAGAAATGATCTCTAGGCCCCTGGCATGTCCTGTCCCATAGGAGTGTCTTTGTTTGCCTGATGGCTTTGGCCACAGAACAGTGTAACAATACGATTTATGATAGGGGCTTTGGGCCATGACATATCAGTTCCAACCTTTGGAAAAACTGGACCCTCTAGATATTAGCCCAACTTCTGGGAAAGCCTGAAGACGAAAGGTCAGCCAGGTAGGTGGGCTGTATGTGACTGAAACCCAATCAAAACTCTGGCCACCAAAGGCTCAAGTGAGCTTCCCTAGTTGGCAATACTCTGTATTGTCACACACTGTGGCTGGGAAGACATTTAATGTCCACAGTGTGAGAGGGACCAGAAGTACTGCACTTGGACCCCCTCCTGGACTACAAGTGACCCGGTAATAATACTCCTAGGTGAAGGCTCAAGAAAAATGAAAACATGTTTCTGAAAAAATTGTACACAAATGTTCATAGCAGCATGATTCATAAAAGCCAAAAAGTAGAAATAACCCAAATGTTCATCTAACAGATGAATGGATAAATAAAAATATGGTATATCCATACAATGGAATGTTATTCGACAATAATATATTTTGATTCTATTTACATAAAATGTCCAGAACAGGCAAATCTACAGAGATAAAAAGTAGATTAGTGATTGCCTAGGACTAAGGGCTTGGAAGGAAATTTTTTTTTCAGTAATTCAGTGAAATCCAAAATTCACAAAGGTGATGGTCACATAACTGTTCACATACTACAAAGCACTGAAAAATAAACTTTAAATTGGCAAATTGTATGGTATGTAAAATATCTAAGCTGTTAAAAAATCAGTCTATAATGGGAAGAACACATTAGGTAAATGAATACAATGCTACTGTCTAAGATGAACTAAAGGAAAAGCAGAAATCAAATGTACAGAGGAAGTACTCTGAGGTAGACATAAGTTATGACCTGGTTTGGACTAGAACTGATGTAAGATGCAAAACAGTCCTTTCTAGGTAAACACTCAACAAAATTGTAGAAACTTTTAAGAAGAGAACTCCTTAGATAGAGAACATTCAATATAACACCAGCACAGACAGGACAGATATATGGTACTAAACGAGAATATAACCTTAAGATTGGAAGGGTTACTGGTGGAGAGAAAACGATTTTTTTTTTTTTTTTTTTTTTTTGAGACGGAGTTTCGCTCTTGTTACCCAGGCTGGAGTGCAATGGCGCAATCTTGGCTCACCGCAACCTCCGCCTCCTGGGTTCAGGCAATTCTCCTGCCTCAGCCTCCTGAGTAGCTGGGATTACAGGCACGTGCCACCATGCCCAGCTAATTTTTTGTAGTTTTAGTAGAGACGGGGTTTCACCATGTTGGCCAGGATGGTCTCGATCTCTTGACCTCGTGATCCACCCGCCTCGGCCTCCCAAAGTGTTGGGATTACAGGCTTGAGCCACCGTGCCCGGCCATACGATTCTTATTCTTAATGTAGTCACTGCTTCTGTGTCCTCAGACACCCACACAGCATTCTCTTACTGACTATAATATGACTTATGCATCTTGCTGGTTCTCACATACCTGGACAGATTCGACTATGCCTTTCATCTTCTATTATCCATGGTTCTCCTTGTCCCAACTTGGAGAGTGCATCTGGTTTGCTGACTTGAAAACCTGTTTATGAAAAATGGTAGAAGACTTTGACACAATGGATTAGGCTGGGATATATAACATGAGAGACTGTTACATTTAGGTAACAGCTAGTTTTCACATCTGCAAAGTAGAGGCTTTTGTCTCAGGAAAGGGCAGATTACAGTTAGACCTTAATATCTGAAAATTTCACATCCAGGGATTCAACCAACGATGGACTGAAAATCTTTTTTAAAACAACAATAAAAAATAACAATACAATAACAAAAAATACAAAGTGCAGTGGCTCTTGCCTATAATCCCAGCACTGTAGGAGGCTGACATGAAACCAACACTTGAAGCCAGGAGTTGGAGACCTGCCTGGGCAACACAGACTCCATCTCTACCAAAAAAAAAAAAAAAAAAAAAAAAAATTGGCCAAGCATGGTGGTTTGCACCTGTAGGCATAGCTCCTCAAAAGGCTGAGGAAGGAGGATCACTTGAATCCAATTCAAGGCTGCAGCAAGCCAGTGAAGGAACCACTGCATTCCATTCTGGGTGACAGAGCAAGACCCTGTCTCTAAAGAAAAATACAAAAACAAAACATAACAACTATTTACATGGCATTTACATTGTATTAAGTATCAAGCGTAACCTAGAGATGATTTAAAGAATTCGGGAGGAGGTGTGTGTAGGTTATATGCAAATACAATGCCATTTATATGAGACTTGAGCATCTGTGGATTTCAAAGCTTTGGAAAATTGTGAAACGAATCTCTCTTGGACAATGAGGGATACATCCTTTTATCAGAAGCCAGAGGATGCACTAAAAATCTGCTATTCAGAGCACTGCAAGTGACTTCCAAGGGTAAGGAGCTGAGAAAGCAAAGGCCACAGACTGGGCATCTTCCAGGTGACCCAGGGCATCTGTCCTTACCCACTGATACCAGGTTGCTGTAGATCTCCAACATCACATCCCGATACAAGTCCTTCTGAAAAGGGTCCAGGAGCTGCCACTCCTCCCAGGTGAACTCCACAGTAACATCCTCCAGTGTCAGCGATTCCTATAAAAAAACAGAGCCTTGACTTAACACAGAGAAGAGAACAGACTTGGTAGAATCTGCAAATTCTTAATGCCGCTGATCTTATCACATTCTGAATTATTTCACATGAGAAATAAATCTAGGAAAAAAAAAACCTTAGGTTTCTATCTAATTAATACTCAAAAATAAGCTTTTCCTCTTTAAAGTCCTAACCAGAAGGCAATAGAAGCAAATATGAAATATATTCATGGAAGCAGTAGAAGTAAATATGAAATATATTCATGTTCAAAGCCATAAAGGAAAAAAATAGACAAATTTTAAGAAAAAAATTAAATTTCTACATTGAAAAATAGATCATAAAGCTGAAAGAAAAATGACAGGCTAAAAAACACTTGGAGTAAACAGAAGATCAATATGTAGCAGATATAAATAACTCATTAACCAGCAAGAAAAAAGTTTTTTTAATGTAAAAGTTATAAAGTCAGGCATTTCACGAGAAAAAAATCCAGTTGGCCAAGACATACACAAAAAGGGTTTCAACCTCACCTGCGATGAGGAAAATGCAAGATAAGACAAAAGAATACTGGACCATTGAAAACTGTGTGATTTGATAATGTCATATTTTTAAGTATTGGGAAAGATTTAAAGACACAAAGGACTCCACGTATCAGTATCTATGTGGCAGGCACTCACTTAAATACTTTACATAGTTTAACAATATTTTTATGTATGACTTTAGACAAATGGAATTTTATATAGTTACTATTCTTCAATTAATTACATTCCTTTATTTTCTAAAATAAAGGAATTTTATTTTAGATTATTCCTTTATATTCTAAAACTATGCCATCTAAGGTAGGAGTGTCCAATCTTTTGGCTTCCCTGGGCCACACTGGAAAAAGAAACGTCTTGGGCCACACCTAAAATACACTAATGATAGCTGAAAAAAAAAACCAAAAAATTCTCATAATGTTTTAAGAAAATTTACAAATTTGTGTTGGGCTGCATTCAAAGCTGTCCTGGGCTGCATGCAGCCCACAGACCAGACCATAGGTTGTACACGCTTGATCGAAGGTGACCAACAGGTGGAATGTGATTCCACTGAAGCAAAAGAAGCCATAATAAATGTGTTTATATATATAGACACATACATAAAAGACACAGATGTATGTATTAGAAGACATACATATATATACATATAGAGATGCACACAGTTTGGTGACAGCAAGTATGTGCTACCAAATATTTGTTGAAGCAGTATAAGGGGATTAGGAAGTAAGTTATGAAGAAGGAATTTACTTTTTTAAACAGTGTGTACTTCATCAATAGAATTTACTTCCCTTTGGGGCTGGGCACAGGGGCTCACACCTGTAATCCCAGCACTTTGGGAGGCCAAGGTGAGTGGATCACCTGAGGTCAGGAGCTCGAGACCAGCCTGGCCAACATGGCGAAACCCCATCTCTACTAAAAATACAAAAATTAGCCAGGCATGGTGGCACACACCTGTAATCCCAGCTACTCAGGAAGCTGAGACAGGAGAATGGCTTGAACCCAGGAAGCGGGTGTTGCAGTCAGCTGAGATCACACCACTACACTCCAGCCTGAGCGACAGAGTGAGACTCTGTCTCAAAAAAAAAAAAGGAAATTTTTTGACCAAACCTCAGCAGCACGGCACTTA